AATGATGTCATAATCGACTTTTACCTCAAGTAAGACAACTAAGGATTGCTTTTAGACGCAATGTGTAAGTGGAGGGACTTACAGTCACTCCATCACAGTTATTTGGGAAGGAGTGGGATGACGAACTGGGAGTTTTGACTATCAGCATGAAGTTTGATCCAGTTTGCAACTTGTTCTGATCAAGAACTGCCTATAGGAAGCTCTGATGTGAAAAACAACTAAACATTGGCTGTTTTTAACAATACATTACCATTAAAAAAATCTTTGGGGTCAATAAGTCTTACAATGATTACACATTATAATGATTTCTGAAGGATTATGTGACAGTTTAAACTGGAGTAATGGCTGCTGAAAATTCATCATAGTGCCATCACAGGAATAGATTACATTTTAAAATATATTCAATTAGAAAACGGTTATTTTAAATTGCAATAATATTTTGCAAAATTGCTGTTTTTATTTTTGAACAAATAGGCTAATTGCAGCCTTGGTGTGCATAAGAAGCATTAAAAATTTTTTTACAAATTCTTACAGACCCCAAACTTTTAAACTGTATTGTATGTTTTTAGGTGCATAAACCTGAAATCTCTGTAACACTAAAGATATCTTTGCTACCAAGAGTCTCAAACAGTCCTCTTTGAATATTGATGGCAGACTTGCAAACTGAGATTGTATTTTGTATGCGCGTTTTTTAGGTATCTTCTGGTGCAAAAGGCCCCGCAAGCATCTGTAGACAGATCTCATGTTTTCAGCAGTTTTTTCTATAAACAGCTCACACGCAGAGACAACGCTAATGAGGACAGTACAAGCACACCGTGAGTATTTGTTAGACGGCACACATATATTCATATATATACCCCTTTTGAGATACTGATATACACTTTCCTTTGATAATGCTTATTGTTACAAATGGTTTTTGTTTTTACAACTTTGGTTGTCCATCAGAGCTCAGGTCAGAAGACATCAGCGTGTGAGGACATGGACGCGTCATGTAGACATCTTTGACAAAGACTTCCTGTTTGTGCCTGTCAATCAAGAGTGAGTATCAGCTATATAAATACAGTGTTTGGACACTTAAGCCATAATTACTTTTGAGGGCCAGTGTTTTTAGAGCTGTGTTTGCTTTTTAATTACACGTTGCAATTTTTTTCTTGAAATTTCGTTCACTAATTTGTGCTCTCTATGGACATTATAAAATGTTTGAGCTTTCATTTGCCTTGACTATACCAGTGTGTAATATATCATGTTTATAAGTGTCTTATATCATGTCTGCTGTTTGTTTCAGAGCTCACTGGTACCTCGTGGTGATCTGTTTTCCTGGGTTAGAAGAGCCACATTATGTGAAGAGGGACGGCAGAGACACTGTGCAGGGTGATGGAGGTGAAGGTTTGTGTGAGTCTGAGGGTGAGATCCATGGAGAGAATAGATCCAACAGTGATGAGGACAAAGGTAAGATGTGTCAGTTTTGAAAAATTGTAATTCTAATGCTTTATTATTAATTTACGTATGCTTACTACTTTTAAGTATCATTTGATGATTCTAGACAAACTTTTGTTCTTAATCTAGATGACAGTCGTATAAAGTCAAGCATGACTCTTCATCTTCCCGTAAGTCAAATTAACTTTAATAACAGGTCTTGCTAGTCAGAAATCTTTATTTGAAAATTGGATTTGTTGAATAGCATTTGATTTGATAAAATGTCATGTGGACACAGATAGTTTGCACATGCACAGTTATAGCAGAACCTTTTCCTTCTGTAGAAGTGTACGGAAAATACCTGCAAGAGACCTATTGTGTGTAAAAGGTATGTGTGTGTGTGTGTGTGTGTGTGTGTTTTAAATGAACTGATTTGTTTTTGTCATAATGTAGAGAATTTAGTGTGAGAAAAGATAATAGTTTAGGTTTTCCAATAAAAAAACTTTTGTGCTGCATACATTACGATAATATTATAATAGAACTATATAATGGATTTTTAGATATTTTCTGTTGTTATTTTTATTATAAAAAGTAATATTAAGTCTATAATTATGTTGCTTTTTATTCATATATATATTTTTTATTATGCAGTTATGGAGGCTTTCAGGAAAAGGATTTCACTGCTAATGTATCGCACGACAAACTACTATTTTTTAACTAAAACTAACATTCTAAAACGAAAATTTTTTTAACCATGAGTTTTGAGAATTATTTTTACTCTTTATTTTTTTCAGACCATGCATTCTCATCATGGATTCCCTGAAGTTGTCGGTTCACGAACGTATCTTCAAACTATTGCGCGAGTGAGTGTTTGTGAACTTAATACAGTCCAACTTAATCGCATATTTATGTTAAGCGCTGTTGTTGTTGCTATCTTTATTATTATTAATTGTTTGCTGGTATTATGTAAATAGTACTAGTGCAACACGATATTTTTTGTGTATAATGAAAATTTTTTTCATGACATGATTTATTTTGATGGGGTTTTTTAGATACCTTCAGGTGGAGTGGCAGACAAAAAGAGGTGGTCATCGTGACTTTAGTGGTGACCACATGGTAGGTTCCCACTGTACAGTCCCCCTACAGGACAACAGCAGTGACTGTGGCCTTTATCTGCTACAATATGCAGAAAGTTTTTTACAGGTAGAATTACACCCATTCTTTATTCCAAATTTTCAATTCAATTTCAAATCTATGTAAGTCTATTTTGATAGCAATGCTATTTGTATGTCTTTAAGGACCCTGTGGTAGACTTTGAATTGCCATTGAGATTGGAGCGCTGGTTTCCACGGCAACAGGTGCGAGGTAAACGGGAGGAGATTCGAGACCTCATCCTACACCTGTACAGATTTCAGCAAGGCTCTCTGGGACATGAATCTTTAGAAGATAGGACAGATCATGGAAATGTCATTCAGTGATGTTAAGCTTTTAGGTTCACGTGATTATTTTACGCTAGATATATTTATATTTTAGCTGATTTTGAACCTTTTATATTAATTTTATGCTTTTGTATACACTGTTGGAAAAACTTTAGAAAGAAATAAATGTCGATAAAATGATGACAAATCGTTTTGCTCTTTTTAATCTCAAATTTCTCTGTATGTCTGTTTTTATCGAGGTAAGTAGCTCAAACTTTCTTTAAAGGGGTCATACGGCAAAACATTTATTGATCTTTCAAGCCAAAAATAAGAAGACCCTGTTAAAATGGACATTTGTACTGTGTTTATGCTCTCTCTTAACAGTGGCTTCGGTTGTGATGATTGGATAAGCAGTCGGGTGTGGCATGAGTCCTTGTTCTAATTGGCTAATTGATTTGTAGTGGTCAAGTAGAGCATCAAAAGGCCGGGTGCGTGCAGGGATGGTATAGGTTTAACACTAATCACAGTTAGAGATTAGACTGGTTTGCAGACCACCCACCTTCTTCTAGTAATCCCAGCATTCCAGTCTGTGTACAATGATGTTCTCTATTTGTTTGCTTATTCAATTTAGTGTATACTAGCTGGTAAACTGTGATTATTAATCTTTAAGTTTGTGAACCAAGGAGGTCTGTAAAACCTGGTGGAAGCTATATGGTAGCATTTCCTGCCTTTGAGACAGGCCTATTTTTGGAACAGCATGCTTCCATACTATTTCTGCTATATCTGTCGTGTGCACCTTTCATTTCCAGTATGATAAGTGATTTGGAAATCTCAAGTATTGAACAGTTTGATCAGACTAACAAAGGTAAAGATATGTTTTACACAAAATGGAAAGTGCAAAGTATACATACTACAGAAATAGTAGCTTTAATACAATAAAAAGTCGTATGAAAGCATGCTACACTGAAAAAAATAAAAAATAAATCTGGAGTGATAAAGTCCTGTCAGAAAATTACCAGTGTGTTTTCTGTAACCTTTTTGGACATTCCCTCCAATCTTCAAACAACACAATTCAATGTGTAATTCAAAAAAACCAAAAACAATTAAAAAAACACCTCAATAGGGCAAATCCCTCACAGTACACTGGGCTGTATTTTTACAAACCTTTACTGTACCTGTGGTGGTTAATTTCTAAGGACACAGACACTAAGCCACATGTACGGTAATTGTATTGTGGCAGTTAAATCGGTGTGTGAGCACAGGGGGTACAAAATCCTGTCTTATTCTTAGCCATGCAAGTCACGCACGGCCACATCTAAAACAAAATCTTATTTAGAATTAATAATTTCCTAAAATGGCCCTGAATCTGAAAAATCACACCTGTCTCTGTGATATCCTTGTCAGTCAGGTCTTTAGAGGGCAGGGTTTTGGAAAGAAGGAGCATGTTTGGAGGTCTCATTCAGTGGCTACGGTTGTTAGCTATTGTTCCCAGATGTGAATCTGTTGAAAATGCAGATTTGGGCATTAGCAAGTGCCTTGATCCGCTAAACATTGAGACATGCTTTTGAGGTAGCAGATATTTTAGCTAACATTGGTAACAATAACATGCCATCATTGTTTACGGTAAAAATAGTTTTGCCTAGCAACGGTTTTAGAGCACTGCAATGACAAGCTATAGGACAGCTATAGACCTTAATGTGAATGATTCATCCATGTATGTGTTTCACTTTCTACTAATTGTTTAGACCTCAGAAAGTGTAATCAAAATGTCTTAACTCAAAGACGGGCTTCTCTCTGGTGATGTGCCATACTTGTCCAGCCATTTAGTACACTTAAACCCTGCTCCTTTCTTATATTCAACTGCAAGCTTGCATTCAGATCTGCCCTGTGCTACATTTTATTTCTATCACTACTTCCATTTCATTGCAACTTTTGTTGCATACTTTTGGTCATGTAATTTACTTGTTTATTACCTTGTACTTAATTGCTATATTGCATTTGTTTATTTGACATTATATCAGTCCAACGCTTATATGAGTCAATAAAGCATCTTGATTCCAGTTCATTTACAGTTGCAGACTTTAAGGGTCAGACCATTAATACCTGTCCTTAATCTTACAGGTGGTCAAGTGTTCAGTTGAGCAGTGATTACGTAAGCGTCATGTTAGTATGCCTCCACTGAGAACTGTATATTGGGTTCAGATTATTTTGGTTTATGGATATCTGGCAAATCAGATTTTCCTTGTTTTCTCCTTAACTTTCCAGCACATGTATATTTGGTTTGCTCTCTTGGTTAACTCCAGTTCTTCCAGTTACTGCCTGATTAGCTGCTCTACAGGATTACTCAACAAGATTAGAAGGGGAAAAAAAAGGAAAATCCCTTCCATCTGCCTACCTGCCAGAGGATCCCCACAGTTCTACACCTGTGCTCATCTTTGACAATCTGGATAGCAATTTATAACAACAATATACTATCAGTGGATACTGTGTAACAGGTATGCACAGGTGTGGGAAGGTTTGGTCACATCGTCCGAAGTGAAGCGGCGACTATTGCCCAACAGCTTAATTTTCAAGCCACAGAAAGTCACTATTTGGAAACTCATATGGACCTGTATCCTGTGTTGGTTAGGCTGCATTTTTGCAATAAGCCAGCTGGATATTTCTGCAGGTGTGTATCTTTGTGTATGTATGTATATATGTATTAGGTGGGAGTGTGATGGCTAATGGTTATCACCAAGTAATTTGTTTGTATATTTCTTTTTTCAGGGGACGTTGACCGTATTCCCATGTTTGGAAACTCAGATAAGCGCTCACAAAGATTGTTTCAAAGGTTTGTGGAAAAGCCTGCAGACCATGGACTCTTGCCAAGACATAAGCGTAATGTTTTTCTGTCCAGTGGACTACGCCTCTGCAGTCAAGAAACAGTGCAGCAAGCCGTCAGTAACCACCTGAAATACTAACAGCTCAGAGGTGAGACACTTACTAATTCTATTTATACTTTTAGTATTAATATTATAGTATTAATAGTAATAGCATTGTATATTCTGTGTATAGTGTTGCTTGTACATGCATTAATTTACTATATATACAGAATTCAGTGCCAAAGAACTGAAAGTAGCTTTTTGTATACTTCCTTTTTGGAACATTCTAAAACCACAAGCCTTAGTGTCTCTTAAAGATATAATTAAAGATGACATAATATTAATACACAATTTTGGCACAAAAACACAATTAAGTGGACGCAGAGGTGAATTTTAAATATTTTCACTACTGTTAGTCTTTTTGGTAATAGCCCTTTTACTAACAGAAGATAGACCCTAAATGACATCATTCTACAAGGAGTTATATAATTTTTGGTTGGAAAACAACAGCACAAACATGAGACATCATTAGCTCTGGAATTGTTGTTTTATCTCATGCTATTTGTGTCTCAAGCTATGATTAATAAAGTTTAAATGCCTGAGCTCAACCAGATACTGTTTCTGAGAGTCTGATATATCCTTTTATAGACATTCTTTCTTACATTACAACAAAGCATGTTAATTTTTAACAGTTACAGAACTCAAAACATACTGCATAACAGGAATGACCCAAGTATTCAAAGCCAAGGAGTGAATCTGGATTCTAGCTAATGAAGTACTGGCTGAAAAAGTGTTCTGATACGTAAAAGGAATGAGACAAGGCTCACTGCTGTAAGCTGGTCAAGAAATAACTAGTGCCTCAAGAAGGAGATGGGTAAAGAAGAATTTTAGGATTTTATTAATAGGTAAGAGCAAGGACAGCTGGCAGAAAGTTGTACTGTATATATTGCTAGATATATTAAAAACTAAACATGAAGTTCTTGCAGATTCTCTTCTTGTGCCGACCTGTGGTTAAAATAATCATCACCATTAGCACATTGTAAATAGACCACATTACAGACCATAACCCAAAACCCAGACCAAATCTTGACCCAAGTAACAAGATTCTAATCAAATCCACATTTATGTTAAAACCTCATCATCAAGAATCTACAAAGATTTCCATTAAATAATAATCAACTAGTACAAGCTGTTCTGTAGAGCTGACAGCTGAGTATGTAACGATGAGATCTCATTAGCGTTTGGCAGTCAGATCCACTCTGAGGTCTCGGGTTAGTGTTGAAGGACCTCAAGACAATCTTTCACAGTTCACATGTGATTTCTCCCTTAACGAATTAGAAGGCAATATGGTGGGGGTAAAAGTCAGCTAACACATTGGATTAGGGCCAGTAAGGTCAAAGCCTTTATATCCATGACTGAGATTGAGGGTGTGAGCGATCTTGTCTAAGCACATTTGGTACACTAATTGTAAAAGTAGAGTTTGTGATTGCACCACAATGTCATCTGGACTAAAAATTGCTGTCTCTGTCAAGAAAATGCACCCATGTGTGCAAACAACTGTGGCACAGAATTCCAATTTCAACATTCTTGCAAAATAAAATAGAAATAGTCTTATCGGGTTACTTGGGTGTTGCAGTGACGTATCAGATGGTAAATCCATGGTGCTTTGACATACGGTGGTAATGATTAATTACCATTTCCTCTTTTACCATTACCATTTTCTACCATTTTCAAGACTATCACAGTATTAATATTGTGTTTGTCAAAAATGAGGTAATTCCATAGTACTTTAAATACGTAATTTGTAACAACAGCAGACTATTGGATTATGCTGAATGTTAGACTATATGTTTGCTTCTGTGTTTTTTTTTAGCATTATGAGCCGTATGTTTGTTGTGGGAAGCTCAAAAATCCTGGCTGTAGAGCCAAGTGTCTAAGTGTCCAGTCCTCACTTAAAGGGATAGTTCACCCAAAAATGAAAATTCTGTCATTAATTACGCGAGCGTGTGGCGGTGCCGGCGCCGGCGCTGGCGCTGACCCAGATCCGGTGTGAAGATGTCATTACGCCGGATCTGGGTCAGCACCGCCACACGCTCGCGTCATGATACTGTCGTGAACGCGCGTCCAAAGTGATGCAATGCTTTTAAGTGGTCAATCCTGTGAAATCCTTTCCTGTCAAGACCGACTGATTGTATTACTTACTGTTCTGATGCGTTTTGTTGCACTAATACAATGTTGTTGTTGTTTTTACATCAGCATGTCAGGAAATCGTGTGGGAGGCTTTCAAAACCTTCTTGGATCGCCTCCCAAATCAGGACGAATACAAGAGCTGGATGAGCCAGTGCCAGACAGAAAGACTCTCTGTACAGGAGATTGGCGCTGCCTTTAGCCAATCAGAAGAACACTTAGCACTTACCCACAAAGTATGTAGCATAAGACCTGTATCATTAATGTTGTACTAATTATATTAGCTTATTGTAATTGTCTTACAGAGTCTGTTTTTCTCCTCACTATTCGTCTTCCTCTTTCTTTTCAGTAATACACCTACATACTCAGCATGCAGGTATACACCCTTTATACCTGTTCTTTATTTTTTCATTAAATGTACTATGCATTAGAGAACTTGTGTGTGCGGTTGAATAGTTAACTCATACATTTTAAGGTTTTTTTCATTTTCATTTTTTTTATACAGACCTGAGGAGTCTTCCCAAGAGCAAGACCATGTGCCACCAGGTCTGTCTATTATGATTGTTGTTGCTGACAGTTTCTTACATAAATGTATATAACCCTTACAAAATCTTCTTGGTAGTACTGTACATTATTGTTTCTCCTCTATGCCCCGCCTTTCTGAAACGTGTAAATTTTTACAAGGTCATCGGTCTGAAAAGCGAGGTGTGCTCTGATTGGCCAGCTATCCAGTGCGTTGTGATGTATGGCTGAATACCTCAAGCGTGTGTTACGCTCTTACCATACTGTGATGCCCTGTCCGGCCGGAGCGACGAGACAAAAACATTAAAACCCATTATAAATGAGGCATTTGTTGCATCCAGTGGGAACATAATTACGGATTATAATGACTTGTAATGTCTTTTTACGCGTTGCATTGCGCCACGTAAACATAAAACCATGTCTGCATTTGTGATCGGAGAAATGACGAACAACAAGTGCTACTCTACACTACTCAAAACTCGCGTTTGAATCGTCAGTGGCAAATCCTTTAAATATGAAGACGTACTTACAGTCTGTGAGTCAGAACAGCCGGCATTGTAGTCTACTCTTCCAGGTTCAGGAAACAGTCATCCATAAAATGCACTAGACACATCTGAATATTTGGGTTGAACTGTTCTGGAACAGTGTTGTAAATACAACTTAACCACTGATTTCTAGCCGTGTCCTCTTTTGGAAGGCCAAACAAAGTAGTTTCGCTTTCACAACGAGAAACACAGCGCCTTATACACAGCAACAATACTACAGCGAGAATAAAAGTTACGCTTTCTTTCTTTGCGTGAACATTTGGGCGGCGTTATGCAAATCTTCCCACATCGTGATGTAGACATGTGGGGGCGTGTTAGAACGAGCCATTTTAGGAGGGCGTGGTTGACTCTTAACTTTTATAAAGAATATCTCTTTGGATTTGAGACTTTAGTCTTTGCAACTTTACAGATCTTCTTTATGCACCAAGAGCTTGTAACACTCCAAAGAGAAAGGAAAAATTGAAATTGCATCATATGACCCCTTTAAATTCAGTTATGAAAAGGTAGATTGGTCTTGTTTGTGTTGGAAAAGTAAAACTGATTACCCCTTGACAACTGCTAGTTGATCAAATTAGTTCTTAAAATACAGTCTTACCATGGTGGCCCCTGGTTGTTTCACTAAGTTTTGTATAGCATTTTCTTTACACTTTACTTCAAAAACTATGTCTAAAAAGGGTAATATTTTATGTATTTGAGGTCAGAGATGTGGGAACGGTGAAGAGAGAGAGGGCAAACATTTTGCATTTTAGGTCAGCATTGCTGTCTAATCAGCCAATATTGTCTTAAATACCCTGCATAGCACTTATATATTGCATCATTCCATGACCAAATATATTCAATCTTGAGTTTTGTAAAATGTTGCGACAAGATGTTAATTAATTAATTCATTAATTTTTTTTTGCTTGTGAAAAATTACAGTTTTGAACATATAAGATAATAAAAAGTGTGACCCTTGACCATAAAACCAGTCATAAGTAGCACGGGTATATTTGTAGCAATAGCCAACAATACATCGTATGGGTCAAAATGATAGATTTTTCTTTTATGCCAAAAATCATTAGGATACTAAGTAGATCATGTTCATGTTCCATGAAGATAAAGATCATGTTCCATGAAGATAAAATTTCCTTCTGTAAATATATCAAAACGTAATTTTTTATTAGTAATATGCATTGCTAAGGACTTCATTTGGACAACTAAGTAAAACTGATTACCCCTTGACAACTGCTAGTTGATCAAATTAGTTCTTAAAATACAGTCTTACCATGGTGGCCCCTGGTTGTTTCACTAAGTTTTGTATAGCATTTTCTTTACACTTTACTTCAAAAACTATGTCTAAAAAGGGTAATATTTTATGTATTTGAGGTCAGAGATGTGGGAACGGTGAAGAGAGAGAGGGCAAACATTTTGCATTTTAGGTCAGCATTGCTGTCTAATCAGCCAATATTGTCTTAAATACCCTGCATAGCACTTATATATTGCATCATTCCATGACCAAATATATTCAATCTTGAGTTTTGTAAAATGTTGCGACAAGATGTTAATTAATTAATTCATTAATTTTTTTTTGCTTGTGAAAAATTACAGTTTTGAACATATAAGATAATAAAAAGTGTGACCCTTGACCATAAAACCAGTCATAAGTAGCACGGGTATATTTGTAGCAATAGCCAAAAATACATCGTATGGGTCAAAATGATAGATTTTTCTTTTATGCCAAAAATCATTAGGATACTAAGTAGATCATGTTCATGTTCCATGAAGATAAAGATCATGTTCCATGAAGATAAAATTTCCTTCTGTAAATATATCAAAACGTAATTTTTTATTAGTAATATGCATTGCTAAGGACTTCATTTGGACAACTTTAAAGGCGATTTTCTCAATATTTAGATTTTTTGCACCGTCAGATTCCATATGTTAAAATATTTGTATCTCAGCCAAATATTGTCCTATCCTAACAGACCATACATCAATGGAAACTTATTTATTCAGTTTTTAGATGATGTATAAATCTCAATTTCAAAAAATTTGACCCTTTTGACTGGTTTTGTGGTCCATGGTCATAAATATAAAAAAAAAATAAAAAATACCTTAAAGTAACTACAAATGAGCATGTAAAGCAAATATCTTTAAAAGGAATTCCGTGTGGAGCATGCCCCCGATTCGCGCAATGTTCTCACCTTTTTTCCCCCATACCTGTTTGCATCTCTGCTAATGGCCGTAAAGTAAAAAGGATAAGAAACTTGGCTTGTAGGGTTTGGTTTGCATTTCATTTGAAACTACTGAATGTCTAAACTAGAATATTTCTAGAAAAAAATATTTTTGATGATAGCAAGACCAAAACTGTGGTCTGAAATCGGTAATGCTTATAACTTTTCTGAGGTTCTACAGGGCTATTTTGATGCAAACTTAATGTGTGCAATTCAGATTTAAATGCTTATGCTAAATAATTGGAAATAAATAAACTTGCAATGATCTTGAAATAACATTTGTCTGCACCCCAAGAGACAAATAATTATCTTCAAAACTTGGTAGGTGATGAGCTTCCAGCAGAGACCACTGCGGTGGTGACCACGGCGCTTCCACATGAGGTTGTCTCAGAGAGCACGAAGGAAGTTACTGCAGAAGCACCATCTGCTGTCATGACAATGGAGATGGATACTGAGGTAGGTGTTTGGCAGGCTGAAACATACTGTTCATACTGATATAAAGTAAAGTCTGGTTCCAATCTGATGCACTCATGAGTCATGATATATGCAAAAATATACATATAACTGAATTATGAATACTGAACACCTGCTCAAAGTTTGTGTGTGTGTGTTGTCTGTTGTAGATCACTAATGAGATTGAGCAGGAAGCAGCTGCTTCGCCTTCACATCCTCTGGTTGAGCAGAGGGTGGAGCTGGCTATGTTATTGACTGTAGAACCATGGAGTGAAGAGCTGTTCAACTCCACCAGCAGTGAGCATGGCAGACTCACTCACAAGATCACAGAGAAGGTACAACACACCCACATACTTGCTTTAATTTTTACACAAATGTTATATATAATGGTTGTTCTGTACCAACCTTAATTACTGTATCATTTTGGTTTTGTGTTGCCTGTTTGTCATTTCATACAGATTTCAGCTGCTTTGAAGAAACTGACAGAATTCAAGAGTGTATCGGTATGGAACATCAGGTGTGTTAGTGCATGTTTAATTTTGTTATTATAGTTGCATTTAAATATTGTATGAATATCACTGCATTTGATTACAACATACGAAACCCTGTAGCATTTTAAAAATGACAGGTCAAGCATACAGTTCAAGCAAAAAAATTTTTTTTATAGAAATAACTGTTTTAGATTTTAAATAATAAAATAATAGATACACTATATAAAATGTACAAGAATTGAAACACTTCCTGGTTGTCGGATTGGAACATGCCATAGTTAATGAATAATAAGACAATATGCAGCATTAGCCTATGACCTGCTGCAGTGGTAATTGTGCTAAAAATATGAACTTTATCTTTCCTGCAGGCCACAGATGGATCCCTCAAGGTAAATTAAACTTGATTGTGTGCATGAATGCAGGTTAGTTCTTTGAGTTAGAATAAACAAGCAAGAATCATGTTTATAGTCATGCAATTACTATGGAAGTCAATAGGGCATGAAATTATTATGACATAAACACTTTAAAATATACAGTGTCTTGAAAAAATTTACTCTAACATTACAACTGATCATGTGAGACTATTGTGATCATCACTTGTTAATTTTTTCTGTGCAAAGCTATATCCAATACAAACCCATAGACATCCATTGTAAGTGCAGTTGTTGTCTTCTCTCTGCAGTGGTGATAAGGCAGTATTGGTGGAATATGCTGTGTCCCTCCAGACCAGCAGTGAAGAGATCAGCAGTGAGACACTGGACTTCATTAATCTTCAATCCAACATGGTAGAGGGCACCTTTAGTTACTCAGAAGGGCCCACTGTTCAGTACACCATTATTGACATCCACCCCGACATCACTGAGGCTCTGCATGGTACTGCTCTATCTGCTTGTAGCTACTAGTCCTCTACAGTACATCTCAGCAGTCTGTCATGGTGTGATGTTCTCTTGTCAGTGGAAACCTTTCCAGAGGAAAGCCATCCTGCAGAAGAATCTCTAGACCCTGACCACAAGGTGAATTACATTTCTGTCACGGTGGCAGTGAAGACACCAACTGCAGTATACCAACTAGATATTTACATATATACTCAACAAGGTGCACAATTTGAGATAGTATTCTTGACACAGAGAATAAGAAATGTGGGCGAGTTTTGTACCAAAGTTTAATGTTTAACAATTTCAACAAAACCCTAACTCTAAGAATGGAAAAACAGGAACAACTTTTAAGGAACAGTAACTTCAAAAAAGTCTGGGAATCAACTGTTTTATTTTGATTATTGTCTAGGATGATATCTTAGCAGTAGAAAAAACATCTGAGCTGCCTGGAGAGGTGATGGAGGTCTTTACTATTGGTGACCTTTTGGATTCTACAATGTCAGAAGAAGAAGGTATGGGAGTGCAAGATGTCATCATACCTTATAGACCATGCCAGCTGTAGTTCCTCAGAGGATAAGGACCAACATTCACATGTACAATGATTTATGGCAGAGTTGTACAATCCTGCTCCAGGAGGGCTAGCATCCTGCAGAGTTTTGTTCCAACATTCCGACACACTGGAATGTTTATAAATTCTGCAGGACAGTGGCCCTCCAGGACCAGGATTGGACACCAACATTTACACCAACATGGTGGTGAAAGACCCAAAACAAAGATGCTTGTTTATTCCTACTTTCAGACCTTCAAGACAAGGACTTGGTGTCACAGTTTCTTCCCAACCTGACTCCTGCTGTGGATAGTGAAGCTGTAGGTCCCATTTTTGATGCCAAGCAAGACAGTGGCTTGACAATTTATGATTTTAATCCCGCCTCTGGATCTGGTGCAGAAGACGATTGGGTAACTGTACTTACTAGGGCTCAAGAGCCAGTTGGAGAGACAGAAGGTGAGGAAGAGGTTTTGATTGATGTAGACACGCCACAGATTGAGGACTGTGAATTCTCCACAATTACAACAGTGGTTGAAGAGGACCAGATCTTGCCTGAGGAAAGTCCTGAACTGATTACTGTTAAAGCTGGAGAAGATGGAAATCTACGGGTTGGTAGCGAAGTGCCCACAATGCCGCCAGTCAAAGTGGCTGAGGCAGAATCTACCCTAAAACCCGAGGTTTTACCAGGTACCTCATCACATACCCTAAAACCCGACATTATACTACCTGCAGAAGAAGAGAGGACAGAGGAAGACAACGAGGAAGAAACTGTGTTAACAGAAATGCGAAAGGTTGAGGAAACTGAAGTTGCTGTGATCATAAAGGAAGAATCAGAGGAGGTTGAAGAAGAGGAACAGGAAGAATCTATTGACAGTACCACAGTGGCACAGGAGGATGATTTTGTACTAATGGATGTTTCAGCAATACAGTTTTCAGAGGAAGTTCTAACAGAGTATGAGATCCTATTGGTCACCATTGAACCAGCAAGCCCAGTCTACCCAACTCCTCTTTCAACTGAGAAAGAATCACCCTTCTCCCTCATCACCACTATTACCCCAGCGGAGGTGGAGTTGGTGCATACCTTAAATTCAAAAGTTATGACTACATCTCTAGATGTGATTCATTACAAAGAGGAAGAGGGTAGTGGCATCTCTGGTGTCATCCAGGGTGATGAAGTTTCCAGCATAGCCTTGCCAACAAACCCTGGGCGGTCTTTGATAGTGTTTTTCAGTCTTCGTGTAACTAACATGATATTCTCTGAGGATCTGTTTAATAAGAGCTCTGCAGAGTACAAAGCCTTGGAGCAACGGTTCCTTGAACTGGTAGTGTACCTCCTCTAAAATACATTTGCTCCTATTGTTTTTCCTCTTCCTTATCCTACCATAACTTGTTATTCCTCTTCAAACACATATCCTGTCAAATCCTCATCAATCCAAATCAGGAGCTTCCAATCCTATTACTGGAGGGCCACCTTCCTGCAGAGTTTGGCTCAAGCCACAAATACACCAGAACTAGCTAAACAAGGTCTTCAGGATCACAAGAAACTTACAGGCATATGTGTTCAAGCTAAACTGTGCTGGAAGGTGACCCTCCAGAAGCAGGAATGGACATCCTTGATCCAGATTAAATTATTCACTAGTTCAGATCCAGCCCTCGAGGTCCACTTTCCAGTTTGATCAAGGCTGGATCTAAACTCTGCAGGAAAGTGGACCTCGAGGACCAGAGTTGAGAACCCCTACAATGTTTTATATTATATGCCAGTGGTTCCCAACTCTGGTCAGGGAGTACTCCCAGCTCTGCACATTTTGCATGTTTCCCTAATCAAACTCACCTAAATGTATGCATCAGCTCATTAGTAGAGACTCTGAGACCTGAAATGAGTGTGTCAGATAAGAGTGACTTAAAAAATGTTGGGGGTACTCCAGGACCAAGGTTGGGAACCACTTCAACTCGAGTCCTGTTGTGCCAAACACAAACAAACAACCTTATTAAGGTGTTTGATCTTATCAGAATAGCTTGCAAATTATAGACTGGTGGGTTAGATTGGGATCGTTGATATAGTCTGCAGGGCACTGGCCCTCCAGGGCTGGAATTGAAGAGTTCTGTTATGTACCATTTATGTTTCTGAGTTCATTCACTCATTATTGTTATTGTATGTCCCTCAGCTGGTGCCATATCTGCAGTCAAACCTCAGTCACTTCGAGAACCTGGAGATCTTGAACTTCAGGAATGGAAGTATTGTGGTGAACAGCCGTATGAAGTTTTGGAAGCCTGTTCCTCGTGGAGTCAATACTGCTGTTTTCCTCATTCTAGAGGATTTCTGCAACACAGCTTACCAGACCATGAACCTCGCCATTGACAAATATTCGTTGGATGTCGAATCAGGTCAGACAACATCAGAAAACCTTAGTCAGTTTGGTCCTACATCCTATATATTATGTATTTAGGTACCTCGTCACAAGCCACCTTAATGCTGTGGCTAATCTATGTGGGTTATTTGTTTTAGGGGAACAGGCAGATCCGTGCAAGTTTCAAGCATGTAATGAGTTTGCTGAATGTACAGTAAACCAATGGTCAGGTGAAGCTGAATGTGTGTGTAATGCTGGTTACTTCAGCATGGACGGACTACCCTGCCAAAGCATCTGTGACCTTCAACATGACTTCTGCTTGAATGATGGGAAATGTGATGTCATTCCCGGCCAAGGAGCCATCTGCAGGTTTGTTTATTTGATTATATGATATTCAAGAAATTTTGAATGCATATGTGCACATTTAAGAAAATTAATTACAGATCAGATCCTGTACATTGAAGTCTGTTCTACCTGGAGAATGGCATATTCATTCATTTTAAATTAAGTAGCTGTTTGTATGTTTGTCTGCACTGTAGATGCCGTGTTGGGGAAAACTGGTGGTACAGAGGAGAACATTGTGAAGAATATGTTTCTGAGCCACTCGTAGTTGGCATTGCCATAGCATCTGTTGCCGGGTTCCTTCTGGTGGCGTCAGGAGTAATTTTCTTCCTAGCAAGAACTCTGAGAGACCAATATGACAAGGATGAGACGGAGGACCCAGTACGGTAAGAGACATACTGTATCACAGTCAATCTGGTAAATCACGGCTTCATCCCAACTCGCATACTTTTACTGTGCATTATAATATTCTTTCTAATACGGACTTTGTCTTATGTAAGGGAACTCCAGTTCATGAAAGATTTACCTCAGAAGTCAGAGCCTTCAGAGCTGATCACCTGACACAAACCCTTGATTAGAGTTTGACCTTGAGTGAAGTAAAGCAGCCTTGAGCTACTGGAAAGGTGCTATATAACTAAAACCAATAAAAAAATTATAATGAAAAAATTATAATTCAATCAAAGAAAAATGTAACCATTAAATTGTAACAGCGATGAATGAGAACATGCAAATTAAAATAAAACTAAGGTTTCAATTTTGCATTACACACTAAACAGGGTCAAATCTATTGAATTATTACATTATATATAAATATTTTGCCCAAGAAGCTTTGGCATGTAAATTATTGTTAGAACAAATATTTATAAGAACTGTCACTTAGGAGTCAGTTACATTTTCATTAAATGCTCATTTATTACTCACATCTTTGTAATTACTGCATGTGCAGCACCTAGGAAGAAGCTTCCATCTCCAGTAATTCCATTATGAGATTTTCATTAATTCATCAACAAGGCTGATCTTTGATCCCTTGACTCTTTAAGTCATGGCTTCTTAACCTTGCGGATGTCTGTTGCAACCTTTTTTGTGTGTATCCATGTTTGTATGCAGGAGAGAGGACAGTCCACCATTTCTAGACATGGCCACTAAGTATAACCCCATGTTTGAGAGCGATTTAACTACAGGCTACAGCCATTACTACCAGCGGTACCCCGAGCCCCCAGTCCACAGCAGCGCCAGTGCTGAGGCATCCACAGAGTTCAGCAGTGAAGAGATACGGCATATTTATGAAACCAGTGAACTCACTAAGGAGGTATGGGTCTGTGCATGCGTATGTTTACAACAAATTATTTTGTATACACCACTTTAGGTGAGCAAGTGAAATTTTGTGTGAAAAATGTAAGCGAGTATGTGATACATGTTTCTGGGAATTTCTCTTCCTGTCCATTCCATAGGATATTCAAGATCGCATCCGCATCCTTGAACTCTACACAAGAGATCGCCAGTTTGCAGATTTTTTGAAGCAGCATCAAATGTGAGTATTTTTTTTCACGATGCCTTATTAATAACCTATAGCTTTGCTTATTTTCACCCCTCATGTAATTTTATTTTTATTTTATCAGAGCAATGGATAATCAAAGAGAAAGTTCCTCCAAATAGTCAGTAGCAGTCCAATGTCCAATAGCCTGCTGAGTGCAAAACAATGAAGGTTAGTAAACAATGTTATGAGAACAGCATGTTACAATGTAACAGTATGTTTTGTGTCTCCAGTGTTGCATCTAGTGTAAACATCAATGGATCTTTAGGGCTTTTCAGACTTTTATTATTATTATTTTTAAATGATTCTAAATGCAGTGTTTGTATTGATTTGCGTCATATGTTCCTCTTCCAGAAACTTGGGTTGTCTTTCAGGAAATGGCATCTTAGTGATTCCAGAGCAATTTCTCTTCAGCCTCTCTGAGACTTTGCCATCGCAAATTAAAATGGCTACCTTCTTAAAACTAATAACTTCTTATTTTTGTTCCTTTTTTATTTATTTATTTTTTTATTTTTTATTTTGTTTTATTTTTTATTTTTTGGTTAAAGACAATTTTCTGTCATAGAACGGGATCTTGGTCACAGACAATATGCTTGTAATTGATTGAAATGTTTTGTTAGTGCCTTCTAATCTTATCTGTGGCCCGTCTCTCAGACAATCAATCTTTGGTGTTCAAAGAAAAAGATCCCTAATGCATTAATCCTGAAAGTTACTTGAATCACAGACCATTAATCTTGTATTACCCTCTTAGTACATTACCTTTTAAAGTTTCACTGCTTGTTAGAGATTTCAAGCTCTTCTGTATTAAGACAAATCAGACTGCTAATTTTAATTATTTTTAAGACAAGTAAGCTCACTTGGTGGCCATCTTGGAAGCATCTGGGCAGCTATTTTCTATGTAGGTAATAGTTATACAAGTACAGCTTCTACATACTTGAAGATTGACCAAAATCAAAAAGACATATTTTAAATAAGTAGAAAAATATGACTGCAATGTTATCACAGATCTGCTTCATAAGCTTGAATCACAGGATAAAAACGATGCCTCTATCAAAAAGGTGATTGGCTCTTTTAACTGAAATTAGGGGCGTCCATTCCTGCAGCTTCCAAATTGAGCTCTGCAATTTCTCCTATTTATCTTTTTAATGAGTGTACGTCAAATCCTTCCAACAGTGATTGTTGCAATAATGGACATTTGTATGTATTTTTTACATTATTTACTGTATTTAAAATTGTATCAGTTAAAGGGTATAGTTCACTTTCAGTAAAAACTGAAAATACTGTCATCATTTACTTGCGTCATTAAGTGAGGAAATTATTTGGCAGAATTGTCAAATTTGTCTGAATGATGCCTTTGAGTTTTTTTTGTGAGAAATAAAACTTTGTTATACAGGAGAATTTTATTTACAAGTTTTATTACAGGTGCTAAGGAATTGTTGACATTTATGAATGGTTTGTATTGCATGTTTGCCTGTGTGTTATTGCAGTGTGAGGTGTCTAAGCAATACAATGTGTTTTGGGCTGATGGTCTTCCATGTATCAGGGCCAATTCAAGAGAATAGAGAGCTCACTACAATTAGTCAAAACAGAGATTACAGCCCAGATTACAGAGCATTACCTACAGCCTGTGCTGAAAGTGTGATATGTGACTGTGTTTTCCAGTTTATAGCATAAAAATGTAAATGGCTTTAATATGTGTTATACAACATAGTGAGGTCCGTAAATCTGAGACATATGTGCATGTGGGTTTGGAATGACACGAGTGTGATTAATCTATGATAGAGTTTCAAGTTTGGTTGTATTGATCATTTAATGATAATGGAAAGATCTCCAGAGTAACATACTTCCTTTTGTTGATATTATGAGAAACGAATGGAGACCAATGTGGTAACGTGTAACATATGAAAGACACAAATATCCATTTTTTGTTTGCTAGTGTTTTAAGTAGAGAGGGCATGAGAAACGACTACAATCAGAACTAGGCTACGTGCCTGAGCCACAAAGAAAGGGGTGTTTTTCTCTCTACAATGTCAGTAGTGAAGAACTGATGGTCCAATGATTCTGTCGACATTTCAAGTGTAACTGAATAACCTGTTGCAGTTACACTTCACAGTTTAACCTCTAGGTAGCGGTGTTTGTGTTTTTAATATTTCAAAGTGTGATCAATGCATCACAAAACAACAGATGATAACACGACTGGTGTAAAATCCCCATGCTGCTAGTATTTTAGGTGCTGCATTGGCTATGACTATGGGGCAGTGTTTGCACTCTAGATGCTACAGTTCTTGTAAGTAGTGATATAGGAGAAACGAAGCTTTTCGAAGCAGTTGCACCTCAAAATGATTCAGTTTTTTTAAGCGCTCAAAACACCGCGACACTACTGGTCAAGATGTTGTAAATGCAACGGGAACAGCTGAATGTGTAAAGCAACTTCCGGTTCTCGCGGACTTTAAATTTAATCTACAAATAATACCATTTAATGTGAAGGGTATGTAATCAATTTTTTAATTGACATGTAGCGCTTTTGTATTCTTAGTCGGGACTTGTCAAACTAGGCCAATTAGGAACAATTAAAGGGGTCATATGATGCGATTTCAATTTTTCCTTTCTCTTTGGAGTGTTACAAGCTCTTGGTGCATAAAGAAGATCTGTAAAGTTGCAAAGACTAAAGTCTCAAATCCAAAGAGATATTCTTTATAAAAGTTAAGAGTCAGCCACACCTACCTATAATGTTTTTTTAAACTTTAAACCGCATAAACACATTTCATTACACCATATATTATATATATTATATATTACACCATATATTAGCAGCATCATATGACCCCTTTAAGGACTATTTTTCTTTCTATATTATTTCCTTGTATTAAAATTCATGAAAACTGAACCGAGATCAAAACCATTAGCAGTGGTTCACATTGTTTTACTGAATATCAAGTGGGCCATTCTACAGAATTGGCCCAAAGTCAGAGTCAGAAACGTCTTGAAAAAATTTATTTTTTATTTTTTGTCTTTTTACGCGTTGCATTGCATCACGCCACGTAAACATAAAACCATGTCTGCATTTGTGATCAGAGAAATGACAAACAACAAGCGCTACTCTACACTGCTCAAAACTCGCGTTTGAATCATCAGTGGCAAATCCTTTAAATGAAAACATACTTACAGTGCGCGCACATCAGCTATACAGGCGTTAATACTGAATGTTTAATGTTATATTCATTGCATACATATATTTCGTAGTAGACATCCTTAACTCCTTTCTGCTGTCTGTTGTTGGTGTTTCTTTGTTTGAAGATGGCGCTTATCACATGATGTGTGGTATCGGCATTTGGTATCGGGGCATTTTAACGAGTACGAGTACAGGAGACCAGTATCGGTATCGGTGTATCCCTAATGAAAACGTACTTGCAGGCTGTGAGTCAGCATTATTTGTTAGCATCATAGACTGTGGTCAGCATGCGCGCCGAAGGGGAAACGGGAACTGAATTCACCGGAACACCGGCATTGTAGGCTACTCTCCCAGGAAACAGTCCTCGTCCTCCATAAAATGCGTTGCACACATCTGAATATTTGGGTTGAACTGTTCTGGAACAGTGTTGTAAATACAACTTAACAATTGATTTCTAGTTGTGTCTTCTTTTGGATGACCAAACAAAGTAGTTTCGCTTTCACAACGAAACACACAGCGTCTTCACGACATGGCGGCGGAGGCAACAATACTACAGCGACAATCAAAGTTACGCCTTCTTTCTTTGCGTACACATTTGGGCGGTGTTATGCAAATATTCCCACACAGTGACGTAGACATGTGGAGGCGTGTTTAAACGAGACGTTTTAGGAGGGCTTGGACGAGTCTTAACTTTTATAAAGAATATCTCTTTGGGTTTGAGACTTTAGTCTTTGCAACTTTAGGGATCTTATCTATGCACGAACAGCTTGTAACACTCCAAAGAGAAAGGAAAACTTGAAATCGCATCATATGACTCCTTTAAAAAACATCCCATGTTTCAGTAGTGGCAGCATTTTTTCAGTAGTGATAGTAATTGGTAGCAACCACATCACATTACAGAATTTTAACTCGCATACTAAAATACAACAAAAAAAAAATATATAGCAAAACTGTACTAAAATTTTGTTTCCCCATGAGGATTATGTGTTCACTTTTGTCACTACCGAAACAATGATGCCATGTTTCAGTAGTGACTGTTTCGGTCGTGACAATTCTATAGGATAACACCCCCAAAAACAAAGATGTCACTACCTTTATGGAATAACTCCCAAAAAAGTGTGCTTTATTGCAGGAAAAAGGTGTTCGGTAGTGACGTTCCTCAAAGTTACACACAGATTTTTCAGACTTTTGAACACATTTACCTCAAAATGATGGGACCTATCTACTCACACCTTGTAGCTATGAGAGAGGGGGACACAGGATCATAAATTTATGGGTTTAGTTAAAATCAGTATAGCAAGAATCAAAAAGATACTTTTAAAAACAACAATGGAAAAAAAAAATACAAAAATTATTTCAGTATCATTTTCATGTGTTGAAATTTAGGGGTTGGTTCGGAACAGCCACCTCCCAATTGAAAGCACCTAATAAATTATGATTTTATATATATTAAGCTTACTAATATTTTAAATATTATTGTGGGTTTCAATAGATAATAGAAGGATCTTAATAAACATCTAAGATTTGAATACTTTTTTTAATGCTTTTTAAATGTTGTTTTTGGTTGTAGGACAGCAGTTTGCACCAATTCTGTAGAATGGCCCATATAACCAAATTTTGAAAGGTTTCGAAACCAATGCTCTAATCAGTCTGACATAATATCCACCTTATTTTTCAACGGGGAAGTGAGCCGTTTTCTGTAAATGTGTGAGACCTCCGGTTCATTAGCCACTGTAGGGAAATAACGAGAAAAATAACAACGTGCAGTAAACGGTACGGTTTGCACTACAAACCAGTATGTTCATAATTAAGATAATACATTAAAATAATATGTAAAGACACACCAGTTTAAAATATCAAGCCGCAAAACGAGCTGTTTTGTACAACTAAAAAGAACTGGAAACAGATGACACTGGAAGCCAGACACATTAAATTCACAAATGGCCTTGCCCACTCTTATGGAAAAATAAGGTGGATAGCCTCGTTTTCTGAAATCACGTGACGTGGGGAATTTTCACATCATGTGAAACTTTTCGAACCACCAGTGATTCAGTGAAAGATTTCCATGCTTCAGAAAAAGTAATGTATCACTATATCACTTTAATTCATTTTATGTAATTTAAGGCATTAATGTTTAGTTTTTTTTCAATCTGGTTAGGTGTTTTTTTAACCGGTAAAGTATTTATTGTTTTATATCAATTTAAAGGACAGCGCCATATTGAAATTGTCTTTTGACCTACGACGTCAGCCCCGTCACATTTAACAATGACTGAGGTCTTGTGGAATAGTAGTAAGGTAT